CCGCACTAAAGCAACAACAATAATAATAACGGTATGTTGTGCACACACATCTAACCTGGCAACTTGGCCAACGAACCGACAACAGATTTCTCTGTCAAACAAACCGCAAAAGAAATTTGAAATTTTAATGCAATTTAAATAAAGACAAGCCAGCAGTGACAGCAGCAGCAACAACAACAATGCCAGTAACACACATAAAGCGAAATAAAAACGAATTGAAACAAAGAATGTGACAACAGCAGACAGTGGAGGCGAGACAACATACATACGCAGAGGTATGCAAATATTTCAGTTACTCATACGTCATGGCGGACAATAAGAAATGTGCGCTGCCATGAAGAGATTAAAAGACGCATAGCATTCATGCAACACAAGCAAACCGTAAAACGAATGGCGGTGCAGCAAGTGAGGTTCCATAGAGTAATGCAACTTCTTGTTCTTCTTGGCTAAGTTCTTCTTTGCACTGGTGTCACTGCTGCCACAACAAAAAACTAAGGCAACTTAAATGCTGTCAATAAGTGCACAACAAAAACAAACCGAATACTGACGAAGTTGCAAACCAAAAACCAAAGAAACAATGGCGATTGTGGCAACAGTGGCGCTAACAATAGCAACAACAACAGATTAAAGAAGAAGCAATGCCATACAAATAACAGCCAACGGCAAGCGTATATACATACATACACACAATTTGTGGCAACAATAAAATAAATTGCTTAAATGAAGTAAATTAATACAATAACAGCAAAAGTAATGACAACAACAACAATAACGATTGCGCTGTAACAACTCGACAGTCTTACTTTACAGAAAAAGCTAAGTGATAGTGAGATAGTTAGCCCGACAATGGCATACCGAATACTGTGTACGATTACAACAAAAGCAAGAACTCAGCGCAGAGTGAGGAAGCGGTAGAATTAGTGAGAATGACAGCAATATGAGCTGTACATATTAACAATTATCCAACCGGCAACAAATGGTGGACTCATTCCATCGCTTCACTTGTATGTGTGCATGTCGCTAGCAGTTAGTTTGCATGCCAATCTTCGTTAATACAGTTATAGTAATCTGTATGACGGTGTGGTAGCTTCGAAGGAATTAGTTGTAAATGTTTACCCACCCAGTTTTTGGAAATGTCAAGTATTTTGTTTTTAATTTGTTTTAATTAACGTTTTGATGACAATTCATCGAGTTGGTTTGCGGTGGGTAATGAAGCCCCAACTACATATATTTGTATTTATTTTAAAACAGATATAAATATATTAAAATTTTAAAAGCATAAGTTGTTTGTTATTTATAAGAGAAATTGCGTTATAACTGAAATATTTCGAAGTAGAAAATTGAGAATTTAATTAATTTCACTACATTATTTATAATTTATAAAAATGTTGAGTTCATAGAATTTTTCAGACAACATCAAATGAAACACTTGCAAAACAGGAGTTTACATATCCATTCGCTCGCTATTTAAAACCATATCCATATCGGCGGATCTGTTTCAGAATATTGCAATTTCAAGTAAACTTTTTGCATAGTTTAACACATAGAAGAGAGAGTTATATCTTTATAATATTCACTACTTCAGACACAAATCGACAATAATCAAGAGCATTTGTGATTCGACTACAAAAACTTTTCAAACTCTGATTTGTATAGCTATTTGTAAGATAGCATAAACTCAAACAGAGTTCTTTTTTATGAAACTCTTCGATCGAACTTCTCTAGAAGTACCAAACATTAGGGACATTAATTTATGTCAACGAATCAGCTCGACAATTCTACAAGGTCTTCGCATGGCACCAAGCTGAACAATATGGAGATTGTAGCGCTGATTTGAATACTAATATACTTGTATACCACAATTAATAAGGACATCTTGTCAAATAAAAACTTGCTATAGAATGGCAGCTACATATATACCAAATTAGTCCGATATCGATTATTCCGCTAAATGGGCAGCTTCTTGGTTATAGGATGGCGTGTGCAAAATTTCAGATCGTTCTCTCAAAAACTGAAGTAGTCCTTTTGCGTATGAAGATATTCGGATATGGCAAAATCGACATAGAGTCTTCGACGATTTATACCCATTTTTACTATTTAAGTACAAATCTTATAAAGAAAAATCAAAAAAAAATATAAAAAATTTTGAAGAGAGCTTTTAAGATTGGTTATATAGTCTTAAGAATTGGTTAATGATAGAATATTTTGATCTAAATAGATGCAGTGTAAGATATTGTTCAGTATATGCCCACTATCCTTTATTTCGATACAATTATTAAGAAATAAACACTGATACAATAACTGTTATTTGTTGGAACTATTTTACTGAAAACACCAAACAATTTTTGAGCTCGTAGGCTTTGAGAACTGTAGGTCGAGCTGGTCACAAACTTTGTACAAATACATATATATACCATAAGTAGCTAACTTAACAGTTATTCAAAAAACATAGAGTAAAATTTTGAATCCTCAGCTCTACTCGGTTTAAAAATATTGAAACTCACTCCAATGAGTATAAAAAACGCCTCTCTTTTGTGAAAGAAAAATTTTCGAGCCAAAGCTTGTATTTAGTAGTTGATGAACAATGCTCTTATGGGCTCTTAAATATCTATTATCTTAAATACATAGAAACAAATGATATCTTGTCGTGTTTCCAAAGCTGTACAGTATTTTTTTTTTAATTAACAATATCAAGGCCGCCAGTAACTAGTGTGGATGCTGCGAAATTGTGCCTCTTCTGGATCACTTAGAACTTTCTCGAAAGACACTTTTTAAATTTGTTTACTTTGAACCATGAGCTCCCTGAATCTGTTACAAAAGAGGGTTAAATTTAATATTTAAGATAAACAAAAATTATTTCAAAATCAAGTGTGTCGAGTTTCAGCATATTTGTGAAGCAAAGAACGGACAAGCACAAGCAGAGTTAAGCGCTTTGGACTTGAACAAAGTACATAAGAACATAAAGGCACAAATAGCAAGTTGTGCGCATAACTTTTACAATATACTTACATATAACATATACATATACATACTTACATATATTTGAAGAGCACTATTGAGGGCCTGGCGCAGCCTTGCACAAATTTGGAAGTATGTATAATTCACAAAAGAACGCATATGTGCTTAGGTTATATGCACTTGTACTGCAAATATGTATGTGTAAATATACAAGTATAACGTATTTGTTTTTGGTTTAGTGCATTTCGCATAGCAAATGAAGATTTAGTGGTCATGTGCAGTGCTTTTGACTGCATTTGCACTAGTTATTGTCCGGTTGCCCGTTAGTGAATACACATATAATATGTAGCTATATACATATATATGGACATCAGTGTATTTCCACGAATGCATTTATAATACAGACAAATATGCTTGTGAGTTGAAAAGCAGTGCATCTTGTATAAAACATATGCGCATAAGTTAGCGTAGTATATATGTATATTATATATATGTAGTTGCATGTGAATATATTCAGTTGCGCTTTGTGTATTTACTTAGCTGGTATTTACTTTGGTTTCCTTGATGCCTTCTGCTTTACGCAGCTTATTGGTCTGGTCATTAGAGTGACTTGAAAACAGATTTGCTATTTAGATTACACTAAGTAACAGCCGACAAAGAATACTTTTTATATTCAAACTAATAAATTAAGCAGATTACTTATCTTGAGTCATCACAGCAATATAATGCTGGTCAGAAGACTTAGAGGCATGCTTAGCTATGTATGAAAAACGCAGTGAATCGGTTTGTAGGATTACTTTATAATCAAATTATCAATTAATACGAAATAATATTACAGAAGTTAATTTGGATGCTTTATTTTGTCAAACCTATTTAGAAATTGTAAACTAGATCACTGTGCTTGCATAAACTATATATGTACCTATTTTCAAAGTACTCTCTTTATTCTAGAAAAGCATTCACTGTCAGCAAAAAAAAGCTGTATTTCATTCCTCTTCTTTAAATGACAATACATGCAAATACGTTTACTTTGGATATAAAACTGCCCGTTATTGCAACTTAGACAACAATAAATTTGGTCAAAACCATCAAAGGTCTCAGTTCCGAAAATGAAGTGTAAACGAGTCTCCTCCTTTTTAATTGGTTGACCAGTAAACTTCAAATGTTTCGAACGAAGCCTCTTCACTTATCTTAGCTTTGCTCTCTTTCTCTCTACGTATTTCATACCGTTCAGGTTATTAAGTATGCTCCGGATATCGCACATAAATGTTTATCCTCCCTTAATTTCAATTTCATTTTGAATATTCTTTTAAGTACTCAGAACTTCCTGTTGTTATTTTTGTAGCGTCCCCAAATAGTTTTACAAAATTTCTGAGTTCTTAACAGAATATAATTCGTCTGATGGGCTCGATCTCATACGAATGGAACATTTAGACTATCAGATACTAATAATTTCAACATCATTAAATCATTAAATATTACATAATTCTATATTTTAATTGTATACTGAGAGTTGTTCTTCTATTATTCAAATCAAAACTTTTTTATTTGCCACGTGTCGAGCTATGTCTATTTAGACATTTCCGTCTGCTTGGCTGTATATATATTAACAAAGTCACTCCCTTTGAAAGATATCAATCTGAAATTTTGCATACGTCCTTTTCTCTACAAAAAGCTTTTAGCCACTATTTTGCATGGAAAACTTTTTTATTTGACAAGAGATCTTCGCTAAACTCGATAAGAGTTATTGTACAAAACAACGCTACAATCTCCGAATAGTTCAGATCGTACCACTATAACATACAGCTGCCATATAAACTGACCGATAAAAATCTAAGTAACAATACTTTTATATATTCAAGACATAGCTTTGGTGCAGCCGAAGTAAACGTTTTTTTTTGTTTTGTTTTTTTCTAGCTTTGCCGAATATGAAATGGTTTTAATAAATATTATGTACATACAAAGCACACATAAATTATATATGCTTCCACAAAATCTTCAAATCTGTAACTGCTCTCGCAATTTCTCTTATTTTTCAGTTCATCTGCAACCTAACATATTCTTCACATCTTAATCAGGCACAAAGCAATCATGTCTAAAAGAGAGAGACTCTTTCACGAATGGTTCAATCTATTCGCACTGATCTGGATGATCATCACCGACATATGTTTTAACGGTAAGTAACAGTAATTAAGCATTTGTTTATCGTGCATAAATTATGCACACATTTACAAATATATGGTAAAGTAGCAAACAACATTAAAGGAAAAAGAGAAATCAAAAGAGCGCGTGATAAATGTGTTAATAGACTTTTAAACTACATTTGTTTTCCTTCGTTTTTTTACTCAATTTGAAAATGCAAACTATAATCTGCCAGCTGCTGAAATAATTTACGAAAACACGCTTTTAACACATACATATGCAAATGTGTTGCACTTACCCGTTTTTATATGCGCAGATTTTTTTAATCACTCTTTGTGCAAATGAAATGCATTTATTTATTTGTATGCCATTAAAATTCCAAATATCGCAATTTATTAAATGCGTTACTCGGGCCATTGAAAAAAGGATCGAAATACACACGGAAAAGCGTAAATTTTTATGTTGCGAAAAAAAATGGTGAATATTTATATATTTAAGTATAAAAATTGAGTTGTGAAACATTTGCCAAGCGTCGATAAACACTCGACAGCGAGAACTTGGCAATAATTTCACGCAATGCAGTGCATAAATGTCAGTAGGAACTACCGCATTATTGCTCTTCAGAAAAAAATGCTGCAATAAAATAGTGGTGAAGTGGCTACGTTAGGGTCGATATAACATTTCGCTCCAAAAAGTATTCATTATACTCTTATTAAATTTAGAGTTCAACTCCAAACCAAGCGCTGCAAGCGCTTTGGTATTCAAAACCATATTCAGTCTTAATTCTTCTCAGCTGAATAAGTGCTGACAACAAGAAAACCCAAAATGTCTGGTAGAGCGTTACATCGTATGATAATTACGATGCTCATGTCTCTCTTTTTGTTTAATCTTATTTGAATGTTGTGTAATAGGTAAACACATTTAAAGATGACTAACTAAACTGTTTAACCAGATAATATGCCGATCGAGACCTTAATCTCAGATAGCCCTCAGAGCACCTTTTCAACTCACATATGAAATGAGAGAAGCAATGAGCAGATTAAAGCCAAAGGTAGAAACAGAAACACCTATTAGCCTCTGGGTAAATAGAGAGAGCAACAACCATTTACTACTTAGCAGTTTACTTGAAATTTTGCGGCAAGTTTACAGTACAAAAAATATATTATACAAAAGTTTTAAAACAAAAAGAACAGTTAGTTTACGTATCTCTTTTCCAGGTGTATCCCGTTAATGTTTGTATTTCCCATTAAGAAGATTGAGTTTTCAGTAACCAAATTTATATAAGTCATCAAATATTAGGAACCGTTCAGGGGGTTCGAAAATTACTAATATAACCTTCTTAACATAATTGAAGCTAAATTTCAAATACCCCTGCTTTCGATTTGGGCAGCCTAGGTCTTGTAAGTTTCCCAAATTTTTTCCATATAGTCGATAAAATCTAACCAATTTTTAGATAAATTCAGAATATGTAGTATAGTTATATAATTGAATATTAAAACAAACGAAAATTAAAAAGTATAATCTCACAATCTAGCTTTTCATTATTTTGCACTAAAAATATTAAAATATTTAAAACTAAAAGAAAATCAAACAAATCTAACAGAAAATGAAAACTCCACCAGTGTTGGCATACGCACCCTAATGCGCTTTCGTATGGAAATATTTTTTATCTTCGTATTGACAGTTTCGACAACAACCTCATCACACTTTATAGTTGTTGTTGTTGTTTCTGTCTTTGTTGTTGTCAGCAATGCGGCAGTTAATTTAACTTTAATCACATATTGGGTTATTTCATTTTTAATTGTGTTCTCAGCCTTATTTCACCCCACACACGGGCGTTGTTGTTGTTTACTGATGCTGCCAAAGCGATATCAACAACAAAGTTTTTATTACCCAATCGATGATCATAAAAATGTAGAGAGTTGAAAAAAAAATCGAAGAATAAAACAGGCTATTAAAATTGAGCTGTCCGAATAAGAGGTGAAAGGGGAATATAGAGAATTCGTGAAATGCAGCATATGCAAATTTCACACAACGCCATGGAAAGTAAACGAAACCGGTGGCGACTAGTCAGGTGAGCAAACGGTCGGACGGACAATGGGCGGAAACTGCTGCAATTGAGTTATAAAAATGCAATGATGCACTCTCAGCGGTGGAAGGAGCGCAAAGCGTATTGTCTCCTTTATTATTTATGTGGCGATGCAGAAGGCGGTAGGCCGTACTGATGGTATCCGCTCGTATCTGTGGTTGAATGGTTGCTGGACTGTGGACTGTGCAGCCTTAACCTCACTAACCGCTCGCCCGCTAGCATGTCGGCCTGGCGCAAAGTTTGCGCATAAGCTCAAGGTGGGCAGCAATTTCAATTTTTGCGAAACACTGATTAAAAAATGCCAATAAAATGAATGCCTTAAAGGTGTGAGTGATAAATTGTGATTGCACACATATAGCAATGAATTAATATTTCCACACATTCAACTGTTAACACAGATGGGTGAATCTTTTCGAATATTAAATTCTTTTTAAATAAAATTAATTTTTGAAAATGCTAAAGGAAATGAAAATAGTAAAGAAAACAATCTGGCAGCGCACAACTTCAAACACAGTTGACCAAAGCGAAATTCATTTCACAGAATTTTATACATGCAATATATTGCCAGCTGTCAAAGTAGATTAGTTTATTTTGAGCATAATTGCCATTTCGTTGGTTGTTTTATGTCGCAGTTAAGCCAATTTAAGTAATTTACAAAATCGGTTAAAAAATTATTGAATTTGGCGATGTTTTAATGTTTTCAAAATTAAGTTCGTAGAATAAATGATCATTTATACAGAATCTATAATCTGGAAATTTACGAACAGAAAGTAATGTTGTGATTATCCATCTGGAAAGCAAAGAAAGTCCATAAATCGTTGAACTATTCGGACTAAATTACTAACGCTGGTTATAAAAATGACTACCCAATAACCGATATGTTATTACTTATTTTAATAGACGAAATGGTGTCAGAAAAGAAATCAGAACATTAATAAAAAAAAACCATATATATATGGGTTCGTTCAGATATGTGACGCCCTTAGATTAGCTTAACGTTCCCGACATCAAATTTAACCTCGAGCTATTTTTATAGCCTTCCACACAGGCTGCTTTTGTGTTCCGAGTCCTCGAATAATTTTCGTCATTTATTTGATCAGTACAGAATTTTGATAGCGGTAAATACTTCGAAAGTATAGGTTCTAATGTTACATAACACGTGCTAGACTAGGTTGCACCGAAGCTTTAATACCCTTCACAAAAACAAAGGCCGATAGATCAGTTAATATGGCAGTTTTATGTTACAGCGGTCTAAACAATTTTTTCGGATACAAATTTCGTGAAGATATAACGTCAAAAAAAAAGGTTCCCATACAAGCACTTGATTCCGATCGTACAGTTTGTATAGCAGATATATGCTATAGTGGTGCGATATCGGCCATTCAGACAAATGAGCAGCCTCTTAGTGAGAAATGGACAGGGATTAGTTCATATATATGTATACAGACAGACGGACGTACAGACCAACGGAAAGACAGACGGACATGGCTAAATCAACTCATGCTGACCATTTATGTATATATTTTATAGGATCGCCGACGTTTCCTTCTGGGTGTTACAAGCTTGGTGGCAAACTAAATATACCCTGCTCAGGGTATAAAAACTAAGCTTAAGTACCATCTTCTGCAATTTTTGTCGTTGCAAGCCCTGTTCTTTTGGTTGTTTAATATATACATACTTATTACTATGTCTGTGTGCCAATTTTTAGAAAAATTATATTTAACTCGACAAAGTTTATAAAAAAAAGGCAAGCCATTGATGCGATTACAACTACTTATAAAACATGTATGCATGTGTGTCTGCATTTGATAGGCCAGACGATACTCAGCTGTCACACATAGGCACTCTTCACATATTTTTTCATAATTACCGCAACTTTTTCCACTTAAATTCATTTTCAATTGTTTCATTGTTGTCTCTTTCACTCTCTCTATGATGGTTGAACATTTTTTTTTTATCATTTTATCAATGTGTGATTGTCCGGTAGCTGTGGCGCAACGCTTGATTTTATTTTTGCAGTGAATTCTTTTAAATTTTTTATTTTAATCTCTCGCATTTTTTTTTTAATCTTTTTTATTGCACCTTATTTCATTGTGCTTTTTATTGCTGTATTGGAGTAATTAAGTTTTGTGCGACTGCAAGTAGCGTGAAAAGCGTACAATTGAATTTGTATTGTGTTGCACTTGCCACAACGGCCATAAACACACACAAACGCACCAGCAATGTGCCACACCAGCAATTTTCTTCTTTTCACACTCCATTTCGGGGAGGTGTGCGCGCGTGAAATTAATACATTAAGTGTACAGGCAATTGCATTAAGTTCCACACACATACGCATATACGTAAACAGATTCACATTCGCACATACATACATACGTATGTGCTGCACACACTTTACTTCATGTTGCTGCCTATATTAGCTGCATTTTCACAGTGTCTGCCTTATTGCTGTTGTTGTTGCTACACGTTTTTATCATTGCTTTAAATTTGTCAATAATGAGCGCGGCCAATTTGTTAAAATGTGGCATGTGACAACCATGTTGCCAGCGATATTTGCTTATTGCATAATGTGTCGCTTAATGAAGGAATCTGCATATTTTTATCACTCATTATTTGTTCATAAATACATTTTGTGTACTTGTGGCATGTGCACCATTAGCAGCATTGTCAGAACAATTTACGCACTCCTAGTGATGAGTTAATCCATTATATAGACATAAGTCCATACACAAATATACTATCTGTGAGTGTATGAGTCCCTATGTCAATGAGTGTGTGAAAGATTAATGGTTGATAAGCTTTTATCAAACATAAAGTGTGCAGATATATATATTTTTATATTAAATTTATTAAACTGGCCAACATCTGACTCGACCATATTTGAGCTAATTGCTTTTAAGCAAGCAAAACCAAAATAATCAAACCAAATTAAGAAAAATAAGTTATGTGACATTTAAATTTACTTATTGGAAAGAATTGATTTTTGAATATTTTTGCATTAATATACATAACACATACAGGTTGGTAGAAAAGTCTTTGCGCTCGAAATGAAAAAATACTGTTTTTGGTACGAAATATACACTATCTTTTTATTCAATATAATCCCCCTTAACTTCAATACACTAATTCCAATGATCCACAAATAATTTTATTGATGATTTTCCAGAAGCTCTGCAAAATACGCGTCTACGACTATAATAGCTCGTTCATTGGACACACACAGAAAATTCAAATTTAATGGGGAATGTTTATTATCATTCGAAAGAACATTCTTTGGTATTTATTTTTTTAAATAATCCCTTTCAAATGTTGGCCACGTCTACGTCTTAAATGATCCATCAGTTGTCTTTCTGGATAAAATGGCAACTCTTGAATATCTTCAGGTTGCTCTTTGTCCCAAATGCGGCAATTTTGCTTGTTTACATACACATTCAGCCAGAAATAGACATCATCGCTGTGGCGCAGAAATGAATCTCCACGTTCTGCGTGTACACTCTCAGCAACGGCCTCTATATTTTCTCCACTGCGTTCTAAACGTGGTCTATTCGGTCGAATATTATCCAATAATAAATGCTGGGTCTCACAATGGCGGATGGTGTTGCGAATAGTACGCTCGGTAGGCCGATCATGTTGGCCATAAGTTCAGCGAAGCGCGTGAAACACATTCTTTACAGATCGTGAATTTTCGTAATAAAGTTGAAAGATTTATAAACGTTGTTCAGTGTAAGTCTTTCCATAATGAAATGCCAAGTAAGATGACAGCGTGACACGACTCACGCGTGATCTGTCAAAAAAAACCATTGAAAAGAAACCTCTACTCGAATCAACCAACCTTTAAATATCTGTATGAATATGAGAATACTAACATGAAATATATACAAACAAGAAAAAGGGTAACTTCGAGTTAACCGAAGCTAGAATACCCTTCACAAATAAATAAAGTCGCTTTGAATGGCAACTATGTATATGCTAGTCATCCGATCTAGAAATTTTTTTCAGATATTATAGTTATGCTTTTGATAATAATCGATGCGAAATTTCGAAGATATATTTTTAAATTAAAAAAAGTTTTCCATACAATTACTTGATTACGATCCTTCAGTTTTTATGGCAGCTGTATGCTATAGTGTTTCGATATCGGTGGTTCCTATAAGTGAGTAACCTCTTGGGGTGAAAAGGAAGTGTGCAAGATTTCAGATCGGTATCTCAAAACTGAGGGTATCGTAAAATATCGAATGGGCCCAAAATCTGTATATGTCCAGAGAAGATTTTTGGAAGAAGTTTCTTGTAGGCCATTTAGAAAATTGGCAAGTAATTACACTACAGACAACTTTTGATGGCATCGAGAAACTCATCACTGACACTAATCTCTAAAGCACTTTCTCTGCACCCAGCCCTTAAGAGCATAACTTAAAAGATGTTTATGCAAACTGGACGAAGACTACAGAAGCTTTCGCTTTTCACAAATCATCATTAGTTAGTTGCAATACATCACTTGTTAATGAATCAATAATGAAAACGTTGACTACTATTGTATTTTTGAATCGTTTTGTGAAAGATTTTCGCTTAAAAAGTTTGTGCGAAAATAGTTCCTTAGACATTTTAATGCAATAAACGGTTTATTACTTATGTAGAACCGTCAAAAGATATTATCGGAAACTAGGTTAGCTTGATATTAGCTTCAAATGTTAAGGTTTTTAAGTTTTCTATAGGCCAATCATTCCAACAAATACATGGAAAATCATCATTATAATATTACTATAAAAGGAGTTGGATAAGGAATGAAATTAATGTCACTTAGATACATGGATTCGGTTGAATGTAATGTTATTGGCACTGGAAAACACGTTACTTTTTAAACTGAACGAAGCATTATGATACGAGCATGTAGTTGAGAACTAAAGAATAGAATAAGCTATTCAGCTAGTTTATTGTGTAGTTCATAACGAAGACACGTCACGAAACAAACTAGCATAATATTTTATTTTCTCTAGTACAAGTATACATATTGTTCTAAGTCGCAGCTAATAAACTGTTTTTTTATAGCAAATATATGTTGTTGCTTTACTATAACCTTTGCAGATAACCAATCAAAGTTTTGAAAGCGAAGATCAAGTGAAGTATGTGCAGGTCGCATGTTACAGGTGTTAACCAGGATGTGCCAATATTGAAAACTTTTTCCTAAAGTGTAAGAGTATTTCTAATACTAACAAGACTTTTTTAAAACTTATAAGATCGACTCTTTGCAAGGCAGCACGCACCACAAATGCATATAATGAAATGTCTAAGGTGATGTTATCAATCAAATAACAGCACACAATACTGCCACGTTTCTCTTTCGCCTACATAATTGTATAAAAACCTCACCATCTAGTTTATATAATATTAATTCGAAAAAGTTATTTAAATTTTCTTCGAATTCGCCGCCAATCACTTGCAGTCTGCGCGCTTTCGTCATATTGACTTTCGTCTGCGCTGCGGTTAGCGGCAATAATAGCGCTAACGGGACTACACAGAATAGGCTAATAGCTGCTGGTGAAGCCACTTAATTATGTGTCAAGCGCAGCAATGTGCCGCTAATACTTACGTAGACACACGCACACACACTCACACACACGTATACGCACGCACGCGTGTTTGTGTGTGCGTATGTTGGGCGCTCTTTGGCTCTGTTAATATTTTATTATGTTAATATTTCACATAATATGCGTTTTTCCGCTGTGTTTTTGTGATGGCGCGCATATTTCATTAAGCTTTTTGTTTGGCATTTTGCGCAATTTAGCGCGTTTTTGCAACTAGTTTATTTATTTCACGCATTTATGTTTGTATATAACAGTATTTGTGCGCGCCGCTGGGCGAGCAAAACCGCAGAAACTGTTACATGTGCGTTTGTATGTGTGTATTTGTATCGGAATTGTCAGCCGTTAGTTGCCTGCAGTTAATGTGCCGCCACACTTGCAACAACAACAATAGCGCCAATGCTGATGCTATCATTGTTGCTCTTACGCCCATAAATTAATTGCTTGTTGTTGCGTGCATATATATATGCGTGTTCGTCTGCGCTTATACTATATGTTGTTTGTGTTTTTTTTTTATACTTTTCCACTATTGCCATAGAATAATATAAATTAATTTCCATCATTTAAGCTTAATTAATTTCTATAATCGCATATTTTGTTATCGTGCGCAGCTGGCAAAAAATAATAACAGCATATTTTTGCATGCCGACGAATGTGGCAAATAAATAACTTTATTCTTTCGTTTTTATGTTGCAAAAACTAGTGGAGATCTCCAGATAATACCTCTGTTTGCAATATTTAAATTATTTTCAATTGAAATATGTTGGTTGAGTAGTTTAAATCATCGCCTACTCAAAGATAGAATACATTTTAAGCGTGCCGGAAAAGGTGGGTTCATTGTAACTTAACTTTTAAATTGCTGCTATTTTTTGGAAAAAAAGTTGTAGGAAAATTTCTTTCCCGAAGAATTTATTATGAAAATAATATCAATTGAGGCCTCTGAGTTACTTGGTTGTACTATAAATAAACTAATTATTATACTTTTTCAACAAAGTTGTCTTAACTCTATAACATCGTCAACTAAATAACGAAAGGTTTCTTTTGAGTGCAAACAATTCCATAATAGCATCTATTTCTCTAATTCGTCCATCAGAGTCTGAAAACCTTAGCGTGGTCGTAGTTGCTACCAATTTTCTTTCCGAGTCATACATCTTTCTTTGTTAAAGTTTCAGCGGCATGTTCTCCAAAATTTGCTTTCAGAATTCTTGAAAACAAATTTTTTTTTGATTTTTAAACCTTTGTTGTTTGTTAAGTTGTGTGCTTTTTAATTTTATTACAAAAACCCTATTGAATTTTTCTGGTACTTTATCACTTTCATATTCTAGACTCTATTTTTGATATTCCCCTTTCCTTTATTTCATACATCACCTGAAAGTCATAAACCTAATTTAAATTTATGTAACTATACTATCTATAACCATTTATTTTTGAACATTTGTATAGAAATTATTTCATATTCATAATTGAATTTGAAAAGGAAGTGTTTAATTTTTTTAATATAAATTTTAAAAATATCGTTTCTTATACTTTCTATTAAGTACAATATAATACATACCATACAATAATTTAAATCTGATCGATCAGTTTTTATGGCAGCTATATGCTACAGCCGCTTCTTGCTGAGTAAAGGTTGTGTGCCAAATTTCAGATAGATAGCTCAAAAACAGACGGACTAGTATGCGTATATATAGACAGATATAATTGACAGACGGACAGATGGACATGGCTAAATCAACCCAGCATCTCACACTGAACATTTACATATATAGCTTATAGGATCTCCGACGACTCCTTCTGGACGTTGCAAACTTTGTGGCAAACTTATTATACCCTGTTCAGGGTAAAAAGATTAAATAAATTTGGATGGCAACTTCTTATTAATTTGTTTTGAAGGAAACTTCTATCTTTCTCAAACTCATAATAAAATTCTGCTTAACCTTGCTTATTTTAGTTCCTCATCAAACACAGATTAACATACGAAAATCTGGTTAAAGAAATTCGGTTTACTATGTATATTAAGTTATACTTATTTATGGAAATAATTGCATAAACAAACACAATTGATATCCTTAAATTCATAATAATCTCGTAATATATTTCGAATTTATCTTTTCTTTTCAAAATGTCACATCGCACTGGTTACTCATACGCCGTGTATCGCAACGACAGCGCACTGTTTGAAGGATCTGAAGATATTCGTGCCGGAGGCGGTTATAATGGGCAATGCAGCGACCCTCTCATGCCAATACGATCTAGGGCAGGTACGTTAACATAAACCGTTATATATTTGTTGTGATCGCTGGTGTTTAATTACCACAAATTTGTACATATAAATAAGTGCGCAATTTCCCCACAGCAGGTGTGCCATTTCATTGCACTCGCAATAACAACATGTCCCCAGCAGGCGACAACTATTGCTATCAGCACTTAAAATTTGTACACATAACTTGCTTTCTGCTATAAACACTATGCTCCGTGCAGCGCCGCTGCCATCGGTTGGCACTTTACAGTTGCCACTGTGCAATCTGCTTGGAACGCTGCCGTCACCCGCCATTCATTACGTCCGTATTATTTTATTTAGAATGTCTGGCATGCTGTTCTATGTGAGCTTCTCAATTAAATTAATTGCACGGTAATTCGTCTCTAATGCCACTTGCCACTTGCCTGCTGGCACACACTGCCTCGACACCAGCACTATTTTACCCCTGCTGTGTGTCTATTTTTGCGCTTCGTTTTGCACTTGATTATTATCTATTTTTATTCTCTTTCTCACTTTCTCATTGCAGGCTGCTCTCTATTCGGTTCGCTGGTATTTCGGCACTGAGGAATTTTATCGCTATGTGCCCAAGGAGTCACCGCCCACGCTGGTCTTTCCGGTGTCTGGCATTAATGTCGATGTAAGTCACAGCAATCTTTTCTCAACCACCTACCTCGATCCCCCTTTCTCCTTACAGCGCATATTCTATGCTGTAGCGCGTCTGCTACTTCTCTAAACAAAGTATTACTTAACTTTTTTTATTAGTTTTATGCTGTGTTTGTTGTTGTAAGGCGGTATTTGTGTCGTTGGTAATAAATTACCATTTTCATGCAGCGGCACGTACGACAGCAACATGGTCAATAACACAAAAAACAAGCGAGTATCTGGAAGAAAGTCACTGCCGCGGCACTTTGCTGGCTTTGCTAATGTACAATAGCTGTGTATGTATGTGTGTTCTTGTGATCACTCAGCGCTTTTGCTTTGTGATGGAATGTGAGAATAAATCGTTTGTTGCTTTTGGGCACTTCGAGCTACTTTTGTTGTTAATGTTGTTGCTGTAACGTCTTGGTATGCGCATTTCATGTGATATATTCCTGCCCTGCTCCGTCTTTTCAACGGCCACTACCAACTCTTGTTGTCATTGAGTGCGCGCCGTTATTTGTTTGCTCGCAGAAATATGCGCCAAGTTTCTCCTTTGATTGTTTTTAATTGCAATTTCTATTTGCTAATTCATAAAATTATCACAATCTGAATGCGTGTCTTCATAAATATAACTGATATACTATTTGCTGTGTCCTGAGAATTATCTAGGGGTCTTCATATACATATATCTTTTTGGAAGTCTGGACGTTTTGGAACGAACAGTTATCCGCAATTATTTCATTTAATTTCTCAACAATCGAAAACAGTACTTTTACCGTATCTAAGAACAAGAATTTAAAACTTAATAGTAATAGAAAATAGAAAACTTATTAGTATAATAGGCTATACGAGTATAATGTATTTGCGAGCAAATACCTTTGGTGATTTTAATTGGTCTATGATGCTTAATGAAAATTAAATTTTTTTCCAAAATTTTTTTACACCAGTTTCTCTGCTAAAGAGGTAGTCAATTTAAAGCTTTAAGAACTTAAACGAATTTACGATTTGAAACACAAAATAAATTTTTTGGCTTAAAAAACTCTCTACTACCCAAAACTAATATTAATGTAAGGCGTTTTATGAATCTCCCTCAAACAGAATTGCAAATAATGCATTAAAATAATAACTGAATAAACATTTGAACAAATTTTTTTTTATTTCGAATATATTAACGAATATTCGTTTTTACGAAAACCGCTTATAACAAACAAGCAAATTTTTTGCATTGAGTACCTTAAATAGCAAACAACGGGAATGTCCCAGCACTCGGTTTAACGAGCAACATGAAGAGGACATATGTAGAAAGAGAAAACTAAAATAGCGGTGAAAATAGAAAACAAAACAGGACATGAAATAAATGCAAAAGAAACGATTACTATACAGGTTGGTTGAAAAGTTTCGAAATCAAAAAATTCTGTCAGCGATTTGAATGGATGGATTAAATAAAATTTCATACAGACAATTTACGAACAATTTACCCAGTGGGCAAAGCAGAAAAATGATGCATTTATAAAACTTATTGACTGAACTTCAGTACGAAGCCATCAAATGAAATATTCATATTCCAACGAAGCAAACGACGAATAATCAAGTTTTTAATAATAGAAACTTATATTACTGATAAACAAATATTCTAATCACATGAATTTGCTTTTAAAGAGCAATACTTTCTTGAAGGTAATATAAATAAGCGCTTTGAATTCTTCCTTTTGGTTTTTTAACAAATAATTCAAGAAACAATATATTAATCTGCAATTTTTATTAAAAAACATACCTCGCTAAGTGAATACTCGAATTAACGAAAAATTCGATATTAAAACCTGGCCTGAAAATTATTGTGTTCGTTATTTCGAAATACTGCTGTATTTTCTATTTCAAATTTTTAATCCCAAAAATTTTGTATTAAAAAAACTAAATTTAATTTATAATCCAAAATTTTTGAATTAAAAAATTCGCAACTCTGCCCTCAAAGTACTCCGCCCCCCCTATGCATAAGTGTACATTTCCTATTTCTGTGATTTAATCATTATTATACTCTATAACATATAATATACCTACTACAACAACAAGAGTTGAATAATTTCTAACTGATAGCGCCTGCATAGATTTGAATTCTATACTTTTATCCAAACGGCCGAACTCTGACATATTGACGCACGATGGCTCTAATCTTACTCCTAATAAAGAAAATACATATTTAATATATATAATACTGGGCCATCTGCTGTGTTTGAATTATCTATGCGAGTAATTTATGCCGATAATTAAAGTGGTTGTCTATATAAATCATAAGACGGCAGGCACCTAGTTCCTCCGCTCCATGAACTTGGTATATAATATGAGATATCATTGATCAAAAAAAATTATTATTACTTTCCTTACTAATTATTAAGTTAATATTAAATCACCTTCAAAAAGTTGATTCCGAAAATGGAACCTATAGCCGCCGTTTTGTATTAAATGGCATATTTAATAAAACTATTCATTCCTTTACCTTATTCCCAGAATTAATTATAAAACTTAAATTTTTTGGGCTCTAGAGTGGCCCCTTTAAAACCTAATATTTTTATTCAAATTTCCAAAATCTGATAAATAACGGTAAATATAAATTTAAAACTAAGACCTATTCTTCGAGTGAAGGACAAATAAATCGGTTTAATAAACTAACGACTTGCATATATTCCACAGAAAGTCTACGCAGTAGCTGAACTCGATCCTCGATTGTTCCCGCATTCGGCTGAGCAAATCCGACGGGTGCTTCTAATTCAGCCAGTGCTTCCACAGTCACTTGTACTGTTGATTCCGCAAGCATTATTCCTTGTGTTTGCTTTATCTTGCTTACCAGTGCTTCTATAAGTGTGTGTATTGTTCTTTTTTGTGTCGTTACTGATGCAACTGTTGCTGCTGGCGCTTGCATGCTTGGTGCTGGAACTGCTGCTGTTGCATATTGCATTGTTGTTGGTGCTGGCATTGCTGCTGATCCAAATTTTTCTCTTGGAGCAACTATTACAGAATGTCTCATTCTTGGTGGGTGCACAGTTGTTGGTGCCCTTCTAGCTGTTGGCACAAATGTTGTCGATGCTTGCATAATTGTTGATGCATCGTTTGTTGTAGCCAAATGTATTGCGGCTGATGTTTCTGCATTTGCACCTATAGTTTTTGGTGCTTGTATAATTGTTGGTGCAACTGTTGCTGTTGGTAAACGTGTTATTGTTGTTGCTTGTGTAATTGCTGGTCCAACTGTTGTTGGAGGTGCTTTTAAAGTTTCTTGTACAGCCGTCTGTGCAACTATTGTTGGTGAATTTATTGTTTCTAGTGCTTCCATAAGTGTTTGTATAGGCGAAGGTGCTCTTTTTATTGATGGTGCTGGTAAAGTTGTTGGTGGAACTGTTGCTGTTGGTGAACGTATTGTTTTTGGTGCAACTAATACTGTTGTTTTAGTTGCTTCCATTGCCGTCGATGCTTCTATATTGTTTGGTGCAACTGTTGTTGTCATTGATGCTTGTACACTTGCTGCTACCGATGGTTCAACAATACTTGATTTATTCAATAGTAGCAAACCGATCATGGCGTCCAGTTCATTAACAGATTTTTGTTGTTGTTTTGCTTTGAAATGTTCCTTCACATGACGATCTAGTTTGTTGACGAATTGTTCGTTATTTCGGTATGCCATTTTGCTTGTCTTTGAAGTTTAGAAATCGCTGTTATGATCACAAGGTGAATGTTGAGACTGATGTCAAACTTCTGCGCAGTCGCACTTTTATGCCGAAAATAAGTGGTATAATCCAAGCTACAAGAGTAGCAGGTAGAAAAGCGCGCAGGTACAAAAACTAAGTAAGCATTGTTATTTATTTTAATCCTTAAGTTTGCCAGCTTGCGTAAAAATATACCAATTCTATTTAGTTATTCAAAAGAGGCATAATATTATGCGTTTACAAAAAAGGTAAGTCTTAACTTTTGAATAATGAAAGATTGCTCATCTTTTGGGTTGGGTTTTGTCTTTAAATGACTTAAACTCTAAATCTATTGTATAAATTTTCTTGCTATCAGCTCAAGCGCCGTTTCCTTCAATTTTGGGGAATTCAATAATTTTCGTCATCGATTCACCATCTTCCTACTTACAAATTCTGAGCTTCTTTCGCGGAACATTTTTTCAGTTTTTTAATTCAATCCTTGAGAACACTATTAAATCTTGAATGAACTCATGCTAGTTACCTGTTCGATTCGCCATTATTCAAATTTACGCTTTGTTTATTATAATCACAACTCTTGAAGTTAGCAAACCGAAATGTTTCTGTCTGCAAAGCACAACGCCCCTGAAATTAATTTGATTTCTATACAGTTACTCGCAGTAAAATTAAGTCCTTACCAAATGCTGACAGTTAAATTCGGTAATATTTTCTAGCGCGGGTTGAAAATCCCCTGAGAAAACTTTCATCTTCATGCTCAATATTTGGTTTTTTCTAGAAAAAAGAAAATATCTAAGAATAATATAAATATATAGTAGTGTTTTCTTGCTTTGATAATTTTCGTATCAAAAATGTAATTTTCATCTTCACAATTTCTTTTCAAGAATTACAATATCGCATGTCAAATCGTAATTAAGCACCATACACTCATAACCACACACACGCAGCCATACAGTAATTATGGTCAATGGCGAAGAGTGCTTGCTCTGGCGACTCGACAGTTTCGTTAAACGTTTCATTAGCCCGGTAATAAATGGCAAAAGTGCCAATTAAGTCCATTGAACATTTATTGATAAATGTGCGCAGTGAAATGCCACAATGAAAGCTCTACAATTACAACAATAACAGCAGCGACGATAGCAACAATAATTGTCATTAATATAGACAATCACATTAAGAACAGAAGTTAAGCAAACAACATTATACGAAGGAGCAGCAAAAAGTGTGCACCAGGATATGCAAATATTTACCTCAACGCCCGCTTTCCGCGCCAGTGGAATCGCAACTCATTTATTGGCATCACCCCCCC